CACATAACCGATCTCTATCTCTTTGTAGCCTCATTATGCCCTCTTCACATTTTACTTTCTTGCTTATCTTTGTGTCATCAGTTAGTTTAACAAGCATAATTTTGGTCCCTGAAACCAAGTCATTTACAAAATATTGAGGTCACAGCATCAAAATGCCTTGTCTCTGGTTAGTTAACAGAAAACCATCATATTGGCGTGGAGAAAGATGTTCTACAATAAGAATTAATATGGCACCTTATCAAATATCATCTTGAAATCTAAGTGTATTACATCCAGTGGCTTCCATTTATCAACAACACATGCTACTTTGTTCAATTAACTCCACATAGTTTGGTAGATGGGAACTCCTGTTTAAACAATGTTGAATTGACCTGATTACTTTCAATTTTTATAAGTGCCATGCTTACATTGTATATAATAATAGCTTCTAATATTTTCCCTCTGACGGATGTTAAGCTAACTGGCCTGTAGTTTGCTGGTTTCAGTCTCTTTCCATTTCTGCTATCTTCCAATCTAATGGAACTTTCCCTGAATCTAGGAATTCTGGAAAATTAAAACCGAGGCATCAACTGTCTCACTAGCGAGTTCTTTTTTAAGACCCTGGAATGATATTCATCAGGGTTTTGGGACCTGTCAGCCAACAATTTGCTCATTACCACACACTTGTTAATTGTAATTTTCTTGTGTTCCTCCCTCTCATTTCCTGATTTACAGGTTTTTCTGAATATTACTGGTGTCCTGTATTGTGAAGGCTGATGAAAAATACCTGTTAAATTCATCTGCCTTTCTCCTTATTTCCCATTATTAATTCCCTAGACTCTCGTTCTAAAAGACCAGCGTTCAATTTGTTAATTTTTTTCTTTCATTTTACAGATAGCTACAGAAACTCTAACTATCTATTTTAATATTTCTAGCTAGCTTTCTCTCATATTCTAATTTTTCCCATCTTATTGATCTTTCAGCCGTATGTTGCTATTTTCTATATTTTGTCCAATCTTCTGACCTGTCACCCATTCCTGTGAATTATGTACTCTTTCTTTAAGATTGATTCAATCTTTAACTTTTTTAGTTAACCACTGGCGTAAGTCTTCCCATCAAACATGATCTTTCCTGTTTCTCTATTCTGTGTATTTTGAATTATTCCCTTAAATGTCGGCCAATACATCTCTCTTGACTGTTCATTTTACTTAGCATTGCTTTTGTACTTCACAATTACCCTTACTAAATTTAAAATGCCAGTCTTGAACACTCTTCCCTCCCTCCATCCAAACACACCTTAAGTCATATTATGATCACTGCCACCTTAGGGTGTCTTCTGTATGAGTTCATTAATTAATTCTGTCTCATTGCATATTATCAAGTCTAATATAGCCTGCCCTCCAGTTGACTCCAGAATGTGCTGTTCTAAGGACCTGTCCCAAAAATATTTTCTGAACTCCCCATGAAAATTGCCTTTGCCCACCTGATTTTTCCAGTATGCTTCTAGATTAAAAATCCCTTATGATTATTACATTATCTTTCTGATAAGCTCCCGTTAAGTTATCCTTTGTCCTCTCTCCTACCATATGGTTATCACTGTATACCACTCCCAAAAGTGACTTCTTGCCTTTATTATTTTTCATCTCTACACAAATCATGTTTGCATCCTGATTTCCTAAACTTAGGTCATCCTTCTCTATTGTGTTAATACCATCATTAATTAACAGAGCTACACTCCATCTTTTCCGGTCCTTGGAGTTATTACAGCATGGCTTCTTGTCCTTTGTAAATGTTATGTGTCCCCTTAACTATTTAAGTGTCAAATGATGTCATTTTACGACTATGTCTCTGTAATGGCTAGCAGACCATACCTACCGTGTGCCTGAGGTGCTGTAGCCTGTATTTCTACAAAGGAGGAGCTGTAGGTAGGAATGAGAATAACTCCTCCACCTCCTTCTGAAGAACTCACCAGATGGTCACACCCAATAATGTAGAAATGAGTAGTTGAGACGTTGATTGAAGAAAAACACTACTTTCCAACTAACACATTGTTTTTTTTTTTAATGTATTGTCAGAGATTTAGATCAGTCAGCTATGAATCATAAAAATGCTACCTCTAGGAAACATAAAGAGTACCACATGCACAGAGATCAAGTGAACTGTCTCTCAGATACTTTTATAATGAAAGAATGTGAGAATTTAATAAATGTTAAGTTCGAAAGAAATTCAGCATGTGAAGTTTTTTTGACTCTTCTGTTAATTTGGAATGATCTTTGTTGAGAATAAACCCAGCTGTGGGACAGGGGTCATTTTATTGTCAGTTCAGCTCTTTTCAGAGAGACTTTGTGGCTTTGAAAGAGCCAGGCTCTTCAGATTTATACACTTACAACTTTTTATTTCTCAGCTAATTGAAACTAATTGTTTCTTTACTGTTGGTTTATTTAGCTTCTTTCCACTTTGCCTTGGATTTGATTATTGGCAGTTTTGAAGGAGCCCAAGGCATCCAGTCCATTTGACTGACCCAGAGGGCCGTTCTGCAGCTTCCTCCTGGTATTGAAGCTAGGCTTGGAGTTTCTCTCCAGCAACCTGATTGCTGCCAAATTTTTCTTCATCACAGCCAGTAGCATCCTCTTATGATCATTGCAGCCTGCCACAACTTTATTGCTGATTCACAGCTGAGACAAGGGCTGTGGTCAATAAGAGGTCATCAGTGCCATTTGTATTTGTGCAGGCAGTGGTGGCCATCTTTGGTGGCCATCTTGGCTTTCAAAGCACACACTCTGCAAATTATTACTCATTGAAATGCAGATGCAACAAGGCTTTATTCATGAAAAGTTAATGGTGCTCCTATGTCATGCTGCCTCCAACTGTCAGGAGTCTTGAGAGTCCTTGTGTCATATAGGCCACCAGCAATTGTAGGAGATTTTATGAAGCATCTGTATCAAAGGACAGACTTTGAACAGATCTAGTAACTTGAGACAAGGCATCAGTGAAGCACTGTGGGCCATCAACAACGGCAGAATCGCACTCTGACACACGATCTGCAACCTCATAGGCTGGCATATCCCCAACTCTGCCATTACTATCAAGCCAGAGTTCAGTGGAGAGTGCAGGAGGGCATGCCAGGAGGAGTACCAGGTGTACCTAAAAACGAGACGTCAACCTGGTGAAGCCACCAAACAGGACTACTTCTGTGCCAAACAGCATAAGCATCAAGTGAGAGAGCTAAGTGAACCCACAACCAACAGATCAAATCTAAGCTCTGCAGTCCTGCCACATCCTGTCATGAATGGTGGTGGACAATTAAACAACCTGCTAAGGGAAATCCTTCACAAATATTTCATCATAAAGAGAAGGCTGAAACATTCCATAAGACCATAAGATATAAGAGCAGAATTAGGCCAATAGGTCCATTGAGTCAGCTTCACAATTTGAACATGTCTGATATTGTTTCTAACCTCATTCTCCTGTTTTCTACCTGTAACCTTTGACCCTCTGAATAATTAAGAACCTATCTATCTCTGTCTTAAGTACACTCAGTGGCTTGGCCTCCACAACCTTCTGTGGTAATGAGTTCCACAGATGCACCACCCTCTAGATGAAGAAATTTCTCCTCAACTCAGTTCTAAAGGACCACCCCTTCACTCTGATGCAGTGCTTTCAGCAGTACGTATCTGTTCTTATAGTCTAGCCCTCTCAAAATGAATGTTAACATTGCATTTGCCTTCTTGACTGCCAAGTGAACCTGGATGTCAATCTTTAAGAGCATCCTGAACTAGGACTCCCAAGTTCCTTTGTGCTTCAGACGTCTAAGCCTTTCCCTATTTAGATTTGTAAATCTTCAGCCAGAAGTGCCTTGTGGATGATTCCTCAATTCCTGGATGAGTCCAGAATTCAACCTTGCTCCCAATTGTGAACTCAATTCGCTTGTATAGCCTTCAGAGAACAGCTCATGTGACAGACCTTAATGAAATTGCCCAGTGCATTTTAGTAACTCAAATAAATGTCAGCTGTATAATTTGTCCATGTGAGTCCTTCATTAATTCCTCATTCATCAAATGCTTCTGAAGCTGCCACTTACGCTCAATTTATGACCAGTTTTATTTGTTAAGAATAACCGCCTTCTCAGTCCTAAGTTCATGGACAAGTCAGTCATATTTATTATGGATATTGGGACATTATTTATAAGCAGTAGTTTCAGTGCATCAATTGTCATTGAAGGCTGAGCCCAAGGATGGCAATAAAGCTAAGCTGAGGGTTGGAAGCAGAGTTCATGCAAGAGCTATATATAATTCCAAGTTGGAGAACGCACATCTTCTAAATCTACATGTGAAAATTGATGACTAGCCATGGTTGTAATTCTATTTGGCTCACTGCACCTCTGGAATTATGAATTTTCTCACATTTTCTTTGTTAAGCTATTAATTTTGCTGCTTAAGATATTTGCAGTTGACATTATTAAAAGTGCGATCTGATTGGCCTCTTAAAAGAGCTTCCATTATTATGTTACTCAACCCCATTTTGATGTAAAGCACAAATTCTCTTCAAAGGGAAATATTTTCAACCACTAGGGGATACATTTCATGAATTTTCCACAACAGGAAGAACTCATGAAACCTAACCATTTTGGCTGATGCAAAGCTGAAAACCCAATCAAAGCCCCATAACAATTGTATCAGAACGATAGTTCAATGTATTGTTATGATTGCAGCTACAAGGCTCATTGACTCATTCCTAAAGCATTTCTTGAACTTGGGATACCAGACATTTTAGCATATTGGTTTGGGAATTTATGAAAAAGCCAGTGCCCAAGATAAGGATGAGCAGAACGTAATAAAACTCGAGCACAACTAAAAGTTTATGTTTTTACCACAGTGTATTATAAGCCTAAAGATTACAGTTGGCAAATCCAAGCTAAATATACGTGGTTAGCCTGTTGCCACTGTTTTATATTCTTTTGAATGAAGAAAAGCTTAGAACAAATAAAATGTATTTTGACCAACTTGAATGTTCCTTTTCAGTACACATCAGCACTAACATACGATGGGATACTTGTTATGGCTGAAGCGTTCCGTTACCTCCGAAGGCAACGGATTGGGATTTCAAGAAAAGGAAATGCTGGAGATTGTCTTGCTAATCCTGCTGCTCCTTGGGTTCAAGGTATTGACACAGAAAGAGCACTGAAGCAGGTATGATAGTGATGGAGTTTGTTAAATTGTCCTTTCTATCAGCGCTCACTGTTTTGAAACAATGAATTGGATGATACCCCCTGTGCATGTGCAGCTGAATACTGAATGCAGGAAGTTGTTGTCCAATTTGCTCTGCTCATTCAAAAGCTTTACCAACTTGATTACTCACTAGGAGATTCAGCATTCAAATACATGAAGACTAACATTGTGCTACTTGTTCACTAGCTACCTACTGAACACGTCAAGTGATGATAGGGCTTAATAAAAGCCGAAAGAACTGCGAATGCTGTAAATCAGAGAGAAAAATACAAAATGCTCGAAGCTCAGCAGATCTGGCAGCATCTATGTAGAGATTTCGGAGGAAGGGTCACTCAACCTGAAACATTGACTCTGATTTCTCTCCACAGATGCTGCCAGACCTGCTGAGCCTTTCCAGCAATTTCAGTTTTTGTCAATAATAGGGCTTGTCCATTCAAGTGTAAGTGAATTTTTAATGCCGTGATAAATCTTAACTTCTGCCAAACACACACACAAACTCTGGCCCTCCAAATTTATTTTTTACAAGTCTAGAATTTCATTTGTTCCAATTTTATTTATTTGTGGTTATTCCTTTTAAAATATGTTTTTATTTTTGCTTATTTTACGGCAGTTATTTTAATCCCTCTTAGTCCATCGTTCTTTCACTTTATTTTGCTTTCTGTACACGATTTTAGATGGAATTAAATATTCTAAATTAGACCTGTTGGTTCTGATCACACATGCCTCTTAAAGGATTCTACAGTCTGTTTGGCTGAAGAGACATGCTGTTACTTGCCCTAGTCTCTCACATCCAATGAAGGGAGCACCACGCTGGTTTAGACTCCTGACTATTAGCAGTGGCCTTTTCAAAAGCCTGCCAAGAATCTGTAGGAAGCTTGAAACTTGATGAAATCAAGACATGCTAGATTAAAAGAATCCAGTGTAGCTTAATTTCCAAATGTCCTGTGAAAATCCAGTAACAGGAAACAGTATTTTGATGCAAAATGGCATTCCCTCAGGAGTGGCAGTAGAATGGTTTGACTCTGTGATTACCCACAGAGTAAGCTTATTATCACAAAACTGTCATTTATGGCTGATACACTTCTTGATATCAAGGCATTGAATGTCACAAAGCAAATTAATTTACAATTTGCTACAGTTCCTAAAGCCAACTATTTGCTAACAAGTGCCTTGATTTGAGAAAGCTGAGTGACGTCTCACTTAGAAACTGGGACGCTGTGCAAAAACCAAAAAAAAACAGAAAACAAAAGTGAAGAAAAAGTACAAGCAGTCAGATGCTGGATGCCACTCCAGATTGGTAATCATCTCTCAAAGTTCTGTACATTTTGGTACAGTGCCTTCATATTGGAAAGTTGTAAATGTAAATCCGTTATTTAATTAAGTAGAGGGACCTGTTAGCATGACATCAGTAGCAGGGCAATATTAGAATCTATTTTAAAGAAATGATAGCTGGACACACAAAATAATAATCTGATTGGACATGGTCAGTCTGCATTTATGAAAGGGGGATCATGTTTGGCAAACCTTGATTTTATAGTGTTTGAAGATATTATAAGCAGGAGGAACCAGCAAATGTGCTGTACTTGGATTTTCAGTTAGTAAACAAACTGAGAGCATGTGAGATGACGGATCATATATTGGCATGAGTTGAGGATTGCTTAAAGAAGAAAAAACAGTAAGAAGAAATGGGTTACCCTCAGAATGGATGACTGTGAATAGTTGAATTCTACAAAGATCAGTATTTGGACCTATCCTGTTCACAATCCATTTGAATTACTTGAATGTAGGGCCCAAATGCAATATTTGCAAGTTTGTGGATGACACAAAATTAGGTGGAATTGTGTGTTGTGTGGATGATGCAAAGAGACTTCAGGAGGATTTAGACAGGCTGTGTGAAAGGGGTAGGCCTTCGCAGATGGAATGTAATGATTAAGAAGAGATTATCCAATTTGATAGGAAGAATGGAGTGGAGCATTTTTAATAAAATAGGGAAGATTTGGAAATATTGATGTCCAAAGGGAACTGAGTGTCATTGTTCATAAGTCACTGAAAATTAACTACAGTTGTAGCAAGCAAGTAGGAAGCAGCATATTAGCTTTTTATCACAGAAGGATTGGAGTAGAACGGTAAAGATGTCTCACTTCAATTATATCGAACCTTGGTGTGACTGCTACCTGTGTAACAGGACTACCAGGAGCAGGTGGTGATGGTGAGTTGTGGGGGTGGGGGAGGCGGCAGTGGGTGGGGTGGGGTGTGGGGTGAGCGTTTTCAGATGGAGCAGTTGAGTACACCCTCTCTACAAAATAGAGGGTATTTGGGAGAAGGAAACTTCATGGGAAGCAGATAGACGAAGAATTCCCAAATATAATGTAAACCACAGGCTTTGTGCCATGTAAATACTTTTTTACTCAACCTTAATTTCGCTTTGTGTTTGTGTTGACCCGTTACCAATGGAATAAAGAATCCTTGCTTCATGATCTTTGAGCCATCCATTCAGATGTTGTGGTTCATAAGGAAAATGTACTCTCCATGGACGGTGTGCAGTGGCAGTTCATCAGAAATTTCTGCAAAGGCGAGATTGTGTTTTGAAGAAAGATTAAGGATACTAGGTCTGTATTCTTTAGAGTTTGGAAGAATGAGAAATTATCTCATTGAAACTTATAATATTCATTAAAACCTAGATAAGATAGATGTCAAAAGGATGTTTCCCCTGGTTGCAGCATCTAGAACAAGGGAACACAGTCCAGGAATAAGGGGAAAGTCATTTAAGACTGTGATGTACAGGAATTTCTTCATTCTGAGCATTGTGAATGTCTAGAATTCTCTATGCTAGAGAGCCGTGGAAGTTCAGTCATTGAATATGATTAAATTAGAAATTCTACGGATTTCTAGCTCCTACTCAGATTATGGGGATCATGTGGAAAAGTTGTGTTGAATGAGATGGTCAGTCATCATTAAGAATGGCAGAGTGGGCTCTAGGAGCCAAAACGGCTGCTCTGCTCTTACATCCCTATATTGCTGTGCAGCCTAATATTTCTGCTCTTCAAAGGTACAATGACAGGAATTTATTAAAGCAAGTATTAAAGTGTGAATTGAAATGAAAAGTGGTAATAGGGAGCAGAATTTTTTCAGCTTTATTTCTAGCCTTTGAAGATACAAAATTGGAATTTATGAGGCAGAGGATCTAATACTGGAAGCGATGTAGAATATAAGTCATGTGAGACTGACAGTAAATATAGAACGCATGCCTCCTTGGTCATTGTACTGCTGATTAAAATCAGTATATTTTAATATTGGAACACTCAGAGACCAGATGTATTCTCTTCCTTGCCAGTATTGCAGTAAACATCCTGTTATACTGACATTTACTGATAATGTACACCCTGTTATACAAGACCACATCCAGGTTTGGCTGATAAGTGGCAAATAAAATCAGCACTACACAAGTGCCAGGTAATCATCATTTCCAATGAGAGAATCTAACCATCTCCCCTTGACACTCAATGACAATATCATCATTGAATCCCTCATTATCCACATCCTGAGGGTTACAACTGACAAGAAACTGAGCTGGATCAGTCCCCTAAATACTGGGGCTTCAAGAGCAGGTCAGAGATTAGGAATTATTTCACATGTAACTTGCCTGTTCAAAACCTGCCCAGCAAGTACAAGGCACAAGTCAGGAGTGTTCTCCCCACTTGCCTGAATGAGTTGAACATAACTTGAGAAGCTTGTCACCCAAGTCAAAGCAGTCCATTAGGTAGGCACCAGATCCACCACCTCCTGCATTCACTCCCTTCACAAACGTGGCAGCAACGTGTGCCATCTACAGGATGTACTTCAGTAACATACCAAGGTTCCTCTGACAGCACCTTCCAAACCTATGACCTCTGCCGACGAGAAGGAGAGGGGCAGCAGGTACATGGGGGCACTACAACCTGCAAGTTCCCTTCCGAACTACATTTCACCTTGACTTGGAAATATACTGCCATTCCTTCGCTGTCATTTGGTCAGAGTCCTGAAATCCCCAGTGTGTTTTTCTACACACCAAAGGCTACAATAGTTCAAGAAAGCAGCTCACCACCACCTTCGCCTGGAAAGTTAGGGATGGGCAATATGTACTGGCTTAGCCAGCACCACTCACCTTCCAGAAACAAATGAAAAAGAGAAGCCATTTTGCAAATTTGCCCAGCTGCCGATCTCCTCTCTCCACATGCCTCGCCTGGCCTAAACATTTAATTAACAACACACAGTTGTGTTGATGGATTCATATTGATATGTACTCCAATATATGGAGTTTTAATGTGCAATATTATACAACTGAGACAGTATGCAAATTGCATGAAATTTCCTCTTTTACAAATTCAATGCGGCTTGTTACTATTTCAGTAAATATACAAATTCAGGAGCTCAGAGTTGGTGCTGATTAAAATACAACAAAACCTTATATACATGCATCTGTCTTTGGGTCTCACAATTGCAGATAATTGTGTTGTAAGAAATTAAAATAAATATACACAAAATCATGGCTGACATATACCTCAATTAAAAGTTTGCAACTCGGGTTTCTAAACTGTCAGGAAACCTGAAGTTGGAAATTGATACAAGGTTTTTCAGTTTGTGTATGTTTTCCTGTTTAATGTACAGTTTAAAACTGATTCGTTTGAGGAAGAAAGGTTTGTATTTATATAACACATCTCTGTACATTTTACATTTAACTAATCGCTTTGGAATGCAGTGGTTATTGTTATGTGGACAAAGAGCCATTTTTCACAAAAAAGTACAATTTAAGCAGCAATGAGATGACAAACCAACTATATCCTGGTGTAATTGCTTGAAAGAGGAATATTGGAGCAGGTGGGATTGAACCCAGCCCTCCCAGCCCAAGGATAGGGACACTATCACTGTGCCACAAGAGGCCCCATACTCCCATTCTTCCACCTGAGAAATAATAGGCTCTAATTAAGAATTAGAGAATGTACTTAAGAATTTCATTGATAGATATGAGTAAATGCAGGTTCTCCAAGTTATAATTAGCACAGGCATGTATGGAATGAACAAAGAAAAATCCCTGCACAGTTTTCATCACCCTACAATTTTATTTAAACAGATATTGGAATTATTCAAGTGTGACAAAAGCCTGAGAACGAGTCAGCTAATTGCTCTTTTAGTACACTTCATTGTACAACATAAAGAAGAACATAATTTTTTAAAAAATCATTGAAAATAGCTAAGAAGGACATCTCTTAAAATGCCTGAAGGGTGGATGTTAGATGAAAACTGTAGCTGAAAATCAATATGAAATATAAGCTTTCTGAGTAGTGCAAGGACCATATTTGAGGGTAGTGAATATAGCATGCTGTAACTAAACTGTTCATGGCCAGGGCATGTAATGACTTCAGCTGTAATGAAGAATATCAGATTACAATTTGCAAAGTGAGTTTCCATCTCATTGCAACGAATATAACATCACAATTCTGTGATCCCCTACAGAAAGCCAGCGCCTGAAAGAGCTACAGTACTGCTCTCAACCTTGTCAATTTAACACTCCCAGCAGAAAGTGAAATGCTACCTATGGTTTTCGAAGGCAATACATGGGGAATTTGTTCACAAAGAAGAGTCATAAACAGGTTTACGAAGTATACATCTTCCTGTTTCACTACAGTCAGCTCCCAAAGGAAATCTTCCCCTGTAGTCAATAGGTATTAACCGTCTTCATTTAATGGTGAATTCCAAGAACCATGCATAAATAACATTTAGCTGAAAATGTTTCAAGTCAATTTAGCTCAAAAAAAAGGATTTCATAGTACCAAGAATGTTTGTTTTATGATGCTTGATGATCTACATTCAACAAAATCTTATGCCTATTTTCTCTCCATTACGAGAGATTTGAAATAACATTGCACTGGTGAAGCTAAGTCACATTAATACAATTTCACTTTATGATTCTGTACTGATCTGAGCTGGGGCAATATTCGGAATGCTGTTATTTGTCTAAGTATCTCTGGATCTGTGTGCTGGGTCTTTGAGAGCACAATCCGTTTAGTTCCATTCTCCTATTCCTATCCCATGGCAAGTTTTGCTGTTGAGGGCATATATCCAGTTATGTTTGAAGATTACAATGGAATCTACCTTTCAGGCAGTGCCTTCCTAACAATTATCTGCATAGGAAAATGGCCAACACACCCCTTACAACTGAATTTCAACATTAGTCAGCATCTGCAGGGTAGGAGGAAAGAAAATTAGAACAGAAACTGCCTTCATGTCAAACTGTGCTGTAATTTTCAATTCCAGCGGAGATTATAATGAATCTGTTTTCTCTTGTATGCTTTAAAAGGTACGGATCCAGGGCTTAACAGGAAATGTTCAGTTTGATAACTACGGTCGACGGACAAACTTCACAATTGATGTATTTGAGCTGAAAAGTACAGGCTACAGAAAGGTAAGATATTCTGAGCAAAAAAAAACATTAATACTAGCAAATCTTTCGCGTCCTGCACAAGAATGCGAGTAATTACATCAATGCATGGCTTGTGCTATGATCCCAGAGAATGTTGTTATTGGACAAATCAGTTCCCACACTGAAACTTGGCTTGATAGATCATATTATGTTTTGGTTTGTTTTCACTGAAACAATCCTGCAGATATCATTTTAACCACTGACCAGAAATTTATTATCAAAATAAAATAAGATAAAATAGGATAAACCAACCCATCTACTCAAAACACAAGTGCAAACAATACAATCTCACTAATCTCAAAACATTCCTTTATAGATTGAAGGAAAAAAATGACTTCTGTATTGCACTTAAAATACAGCCCAATACTGCATCCAAGGAAACACCTTGTCTCATCCCCAAAAACACCATTTGTAAGGTGCTCACACCAGAGTCTGTCTTTAATATCTCGATAGGGTTAGGTCACTTCTGAATTTAACTATAGACTGGCAGTGCAGATAGCTTTTTCCTGGGGCTATTATAACTTGTGCCTAAACGTTCTTTAGAAAGCCCTTCAGAATTTTGTCCCAACAGTTCTGGTCTGGCACTTTCACTAACTTTTTACTTTGAGGTAATCTAGTTTAGCTATAACTGTCTGTTCTCAGGAGCACTGGTTTATACAGTTATCTTCATCTAAGGACTTCACAGCACAAACCACAAACCACAAAGTGGAAAATACATCTTTCTGTCTAACTTCAGATATTTCAATTAAGTTTGGACCAACCTCTGTTGACCTGCCAAACTTGTTTATCTTTTTCAACTGTAAAGCCCTAACAATGTTTACAAAAAAACACATGAATTCTAAAGTTAGGTTTCAAAAACTGTTTAAAACAGAATCATCATGGCTACAGAAATATTTAGGAGTTAGTGATTAACTTCAGGGACCGAAAACCCAAATGTTCCTAATTCAAAAGTGAAAAACCCAAACTTAGAGTTCACATCACAGTTGACAGATTTACTGCTCCATAAAAAGTTATTCAAAAACTACCAGAGTTAAAATTGGAATCAAAGGAGCAGAAAAGTCTACATTTTAGCCCAAAACATTGACTTTCCTGCTTCCCTGATGCTGTCTGACCTGCTGTGCTTTTCCAGCCTCACACCTATAGAGTCTGGCTTCCAGCATCGGCAGTCCTTATTGTCTCCAAGAGTGGAATCCACTGTATCAAGACATTCATTTCTGGTTTAAAAATAGCCTGCAGAAACTCTGATATTGATTACTTTGTTTAGACATGTCCTTGTTTGTAAATGAGTGCAATGATCATGAATGCCAGAAATTAAGCTCCGTTCCACTACAATAGTTTTGTATAGCATTTACAACATAAAAATAGGCCACTCCATTCAACACATCTAACGCAATGTTGATGTTCCACATAACCAAACCTCATTTGCCTCATCAACATATTTTCATATTCCTTTCTCTTACACACAAATGGATTTATTCTGATTGTTTTATTGTGGAAGGCAAATTAAATGTTGGCATTCATTTCAGGAGGGTGAGGAAGCAAAACCTAAGGTGTGCTGCTGAGGCTATACAAGGTTCTGGTCAGGCTGCATTTAGGATATTGTGTGCATTTTTGGGGCCCATGTCGAAGAAGGGATGTGCTGGCATTGGAGGGATTCTAGAGGAGCACAAGAATGATCCCAGAGATGAAGGGCTTGTCATATAAGGAGCAGTTGAGGACTCTGAGTTTATATTCAATAGAACTTAGAAACATGAGGGAAGATCTGATTGAAACTTACAGGATGCTGAGAGGCCTGAATAGAGTGGACATGGAGAAATTGTTTCCACTAGTAGAAGAGACTAGGACCTGAGGACACAACCTCCAGAGTGAAGGGACGACTCTTTAGAACTAAGATGAGGAGAAATTTCTTCAGCCAGAGGGTATTGAATCTGTGGAAGTTATTACCACAGAGGGCTGTGGAGGCCAAGTCATTGAGAGTATTTAAGACAGAGATAGATAGATAGATTCTTGACTAGTAAGGTGGTTACAAGTTGCAGGGAGAAGGCAGAAGAATGGTTTGAAAACATATCAGCCATGATCAAATGGTGGAACAGACCCAATGGGCTGAATAACCTAATTCTACTCCTGTATTTTATGGTTTTATGATCTTATGTGACAGCAAGTTACACATATTAATTACTTATTGGGTAAGGAGATTTCTCCTGAATTCCCTTTTATGTTTATTAGTGACTTATGGTGTACATCTGGCCTGTAACTATTGAGGTATATTTTGATGTGATAGTGATCTTTAAAACTACTTCAGTTTATCCAATAATGTTCTAAAACAGTTAGCTATAAACAATATCTGCACAGTAACAACTGGGTGCACATTTTTTGCCTCTCACGCTGTGGATAAAATGAATTATGGCTAAACAAGGAGCATTTATATCATGCGACAGAGGAGCAAATGATATAAGATAAGGTATGTGAGAGATTGAGAAATCATTTACCTTTTCCATATTAGACCAGCAATTTTGAATTCATCTTTATTGTGATATAATAGTGTTGCTTTTGCAAGTTACAGCCTGTACATGTTGCACTATTAATTTGCACCTCTCCATCAAACCATAACGGAAAATGAAAAAGCTGATTACCAGAACTGTTGCCTCAGTCAAGTCAATTGTGATTATGGATTTTCTCTATTTAGTTTCCTTGACACAGTCACTTAGGTTGAAAAGTAATAATTCAGGTCAATGCTCTTAAATTCAGTAGTTCAGCAGTATTGAAGTAAACTAAAATGTCTGCTCCTCTTCATATTTTTATTTTGTAGCTTCGACACGGCATATCAGATTTAGTGCATGTTGTGGACGTTATGTATGGCACTGAAATACAAGAGACAATCATTTAAACACAACTTCAGGCTCGCGATGATCACATTCATATGGGGCAAACTCACACCTAAAACCAGAGTTACAAAGCCATGGATGGATGGGGAGGGAGAGAGGGGCTTTTTTTTCTTTTGGGAAGTTTAAATGGGAAGGGTCTCATGACAAAGCTTTTAAGCAAAACAGAACATCCTCCTGACTCCATAGTAATGTATGTTACAAAGCAAACCTATCTTTCTGTTGGGTAACTTCCAACAGGGTTTATAAAGGCTGCTGGTTAGACCATGTATGGTAACAGAAATATAGACTCAAGCTCGCCTTCATACATGCCACTCTGTTTCTTACCATTTTCGGAGGTGGAACCCTTAAATAGGCATGAATCCCCTTATCAGCATGTGCAAAATACAGAATGCCTGAACACCACTACAGCTATGTCCAGCATATAGTCCAGTGAAATTGAAAAGATCCCACACTCCCACCCACTTTGAGTCCATAAAACAGAGAAAGAGTTTCAGTATCATCCTTGGTTTATTTAATCTGAGATACTGTTAATGTCTAAATGATCATGTCACAATTGAGGATGTTAATGTCATCTTCTGAGTTTTTAATTTGTGTAGCTTAGCATGTTCCTGAAAAGTGAAAGAATTTGAAATTCAGATTGCAGTGGGTAAGGAATTTGAAACTGTAGCATTGCCACATGGTGGAAATGAAAATGACAAAGCCCGTTCCAGAAGGTGCTCCCTACAACACCAGCAACTCCTGATATGGCCCATATGGTGCGGCCCCTTGAGACAAACAATGTATGGTTCCTGTGAATGACATCCCATAACCTAACTGGCTGATATAACATTTTCCAAATTCGGACCACATGAGACTGTTCAATCAATTCACAGGACATTTATAAAGAACCAAAGGTTCAGCTGCAAGTTGGGTCCTGCTCAAACATTATAATGATGTGGAAGCACTTGTGCAATTGCAAAGTGTCAGAAAGCACTCTGAGGTGTTTTTAGAGGTGCTGTGATGAGTTTCTGGATTTAAGAGAGCATATTTCTATTTCTTCATAGAAATTGCAGAGAGGGTAGATAACCTATCTAAACAAAAACTGGAATAGTTAGTGAGACAGCGGTGCCTCTAGATCTGTAAAAATTAGAGAGAGATTGAGCCAAAAATCTTCGTGATACCCTCGCTAACTTAGAATTAGATTCTTTCACATTCTTTCACAGTGATAGGGTCTTGATAGTGGCAGTGCAGGTAGTGTACCCAGCATCTTGGTGTATATGCCTTTTCAGAGCTCTGCTGTATGTTGGATCATCAAGAGCATCATTTGAATGTCAGTTCATATGATGACGCCTTCACCTCAGTGCTGTGCTGTTACCCTCACTCTCTTCTTCTTGGGGTTGATGGGACTGGGCAGACAGCAGTTCTTCAATATCTGAAAGCAGAAAATCAGAAGAGAAATGGTTGTGTGTGGGTGGTGGGGTGGCACAGAAAGCAAGAGATCCATGGGCATATCATTTGCAGTTTGTCTGTTGTGCCCGACAGCAAGCGGACAGTATGCTGGGAGGCAAGAAGAGGGCTAGACAGGAACTTACTCTCATTCTAAATGTTCCCAGATATGGTGTGTGCCACAGGTTTCATTGCAGCTGATCCAATGATGTGGAGAAAGATCTCTCCACTGGTCACAGGACATCCATGCATTCTTGTACCCTGTTAACTCTGATGTGCTCTGCAAGAGCAAGGGAGAGAGAAGAGAAGAGAAGATCAATGACTGTGTTTGGGAGATATGCCTGCTACAGTTAAATAAGTAAAGATATGTAGAGGTACCAAGAGGTGGGTGTGCAGCTGGAGGCACTAGCATGAGTGCAGAGTATCTAGATACAGGAATACCAAGTGCCGGCAGATGCTGCTGAGTAAGTGAGGAAGGTGTGATGCATTGAGAAGTTTGAGAAATTGGTGGTATGGTGGGAAGGAGATGTCATTTGAAGTTGCGTTTGCTCACCTTGCCCACCCACATTAAGTTATTAGACTTCTTATTGCCTGAGTCTAGATACCAGAAGTTGATCCTTCTGGTCATCTGCTCCCAGTTCATTCTGAGGGTGGTCTTTGTGGATCTCCTGG